ATCTGATAACGTCTCTAGCCACTGTGTTACACCATCTCTCGGACCCCAGTTAGGGAGTCTAGAAGGACCAATAAAAGCCAGCCCTTCACAGCTTCCTTTCATATTACGACACCATGTCATACACTGACCACTTCTCCGCTTCTTCCAACCAATCCCAGCGTCGGCAAATATTGCCACAAAAGCTGACGTGAGAAACAGTTCTTTATTTGGAAAATGTTTTGTATCTAAATTAAACAGAATGAACTTGTACTCAGCGTATATTCTTTTGCCATTAGGAAGTGAATATCACACATGCATGAGATATATAATTGGGGAAGTCAAGATAGATTTTTAACTCCGTGGCAAGATTTTATTAACCATTAATGTACTAGGGCGGGTGGCGAATATTCAATTTGACTGTTTTCAAAACGTTCTTACTAGCCCGCCACAGACAGAAACCTAAGTTGTATATTCATCTATGTTTGATTAAATTACCTGTATAACCAGTTTTACGAGCATATTATACAGAGAAGATCATTACAAAGAGGTGTTCACCTGAATTTAGGTTGTAGTTTAATTGTTTTGTTAGACAATGATACAAAGGATCAATATTTTACAGAGGTATTTTGTTTTGGACTTTTCTCATTTTATATTTGCTCTTTGCTGCCCTTATTCTAGTTAACTTCAAGTGTATTAAAACTAGGTTATACAATTTGAACTTTTGTGAATTTTTTTCGCAAATGTAAAGTTAGTTTTTATCATAGATTTTTATCGGCTGGTGGTAATGATAAACATCTGTTTCATACTGGTTCAAGTTTCTTCAACTGGGTATTACTTACTTACTTACTTACGTCTGTTACTCCTAATGGAGCATAGGCCGTCAACCAGCATTCCCAACACACTTTGTCATGGGCCTTCCTCTCCAGTTCTATCGATTTTTTGTTCATCCTTCTCATGTCTGTCTCCATTTCTCAGCGTAATGTGTTCTTTGGTCTTCCTGTCTCCCTTTGACCTTGAGGATTCCATGTGAGGACTTGTCTTGTGACACAGTTGAGTGCTTTTCTCAATGTGTGTCCTATCCACTTCCAGCGCTTCTTCCTCCGCTTGGATCTGGTTTGTTCTTTCCCACAGTTGGTTGTTGCTAATAGTGTCCGGCCAACGGATCCGAAGTATTTTGCGTAGACAACTGTTAATAAACACCTGTATCTTCTGGATAATGGCTTTCGTAGTTCTCAAAGTTTCCGCCTCATAAAGTAGAACTGTTTTGACATTTGTATTGAAAATTGTGACTTTGGTGTCGGTTGACAGTTGTTTTGAGTTCCAGATGTTCTTCAGTTGTAAATATGCTGCTCTGCATCAGACCCACCATGTTGATCAATGATGCTGCCCAATTATGTAACGGTTTTTACACCTTCTTAAGATTCTCCGTCAAGTGTGACTGGATTGGTGCATGCTGTGTTGTATCGGAGAATCTTGCTTTTCCCTTTGTGTATATTGAGACCAACTGCTGCTGCTACACTGGTCTTTTTCTCCTGCATTTGTTGTTGCGATTGCGAAAGAAGTTCCAGATCATCTGCGATGTCTAGATCGTCCAGCTGCATCCTATCTGTCCATTGTATCCCGTGTTTCTCTTCAGATGTTGACGTCTTCATGATCCAGTTGGTCACCAGGAGAAAGAGAAAGGGTGAGAGTAAGCAACCTTGCCTGACACCGGTCTTTATCTCGAACGAGTCTGTCAATTGTCCTCCATGCACACTTTTGCAGTTTAATCTATCATAGGAATTCTGTATGATATTGACTATCTTCTGAGGCACGCCGTAGTATCGAAGAAGCTTCCATAGTGTTGTCCTGTCCACGCTATCAAATGCTTTCTCGTAATCAATGAAGTTGATGTAGAGTGATGAATTCCATTCAATTGATTGTTCCACAATGATCAGTAGTGTTGCGATTCGGTCTGTACACGATCGATCCTTACGGAATCCAGCCCATTGGTCTCGAAGTTAGGTATCTACGGAGTCCTTCATTCTGTTTAACTATACCTTGTTGAAAACTTTTCCTGGTATTGAGAGAAGAGTGATGCCCTTGTAGTTATCACACTTGCTGAGATCGCATTTCTTTGGTATCTTGATCAAGTGCCCTTCTTTCCAGTCTGTTGGTACATGTTCTACATCCCAAATCTTATTGAAGAGAATATGGAGTATCCTTGCAGTTGCCACCACGTCTGCTTTTATTGCCTCTGCTGGTATGTTGTGTGATCCTGTTGATTTGCCACTCTTGATTTGTCTGATGGCCATGCTTATCTCTTCAATTGTTGGTGGGCCAAGATTGATTGGGAAGTCCGTGGGTGCTACTTCGATATTGGGTGGGTTCAGTGGAGCTGGTCAATTCAAGAGTTCTTTGTAATGCTCAACCCACCTGTTTCGTCGTTCCTCACTGTTGGTGATTACCCCGCCCTCCTTGCTTTTCACTGGTCGTTCTGGTCTACGATAATTCCCAGCGAGTTTGTTTGTTGTGCCATAAAATTGTCTCATGTTTCCTTCTCTTGCAGCCTTTTCCGCCGTCATTACCAAATCCTCCACATATTTGTATTTGTCGGTCCTGATGCTCCTCTTCACTTGCTTGTTTACTTCTGTGTATTCAGCTTGTGCCTTGGCATTTTCTGCTCTTGTTCGACTGGTATTGATTGCTGCCTTCTTGTTCCTTCTTTCTTGAATCTTATCCAGTGTATCAACAGTGATCCATTCCTTGTGGTAGTGTTTCTTGTGACCCAAAACCTCATGACATGTTGAGGTGATTGCTTCTTTTATCCCCTTCCAGTTGCTCTCCATAGTAGTTCCCTCTACATTGAGTAGATCACGAAATGCCTGGAACCTATTGCTGAGAGCTATCTTGAATTTGTTGAGTTTATCAGTATCCTGAAGAAAGGCCGTGTTAAACGTTTGTGATGTTGTCCGCCCCATTGTCCAGTGTTTCTTGAGTTTCAATTTCATCTTGGCGACCAGCAAGTGATGATTTGATGCTATATCAGCTCCTCTCTTGATTCTTACATCCTCCATTTTCCTCTTGAACTTTTTGTTGATACAGATATGGTCGATTTGGTTCTGTGTAATGTGATCCAGTGAAGTCCATTTACTTTTACGTATGCGTTTGTGTGGGAATACAGTGCCGCCTATGACCAGTTCATTGAGGGCACATAGGTGTGCATAGGTTTTCGTTCCTTTCTCTCAGTCTGTGCCGTCTCATGATGTCTTCACATCCGGTATTGTCCATTCCAACCTCGGCATTTAAATCTCCCATCAGAATGGACAAGTCCTTTGTTGGACACTTCTCGACGATTGACTGCAGCCTATCGTAGAATTGATCTTTAACTTCTTCATTGTAGTCGTTGATAGGCGCATAGCATTGGATGATGTTCATTGAAATGCCCTTTTTGTTTGTTTTGAAGGAGGCTCTGATGATCCTTGGTCCATGAGATTCCGATCCTATAAGTGCATTTTGTGCTTGTTTTGATAGCATCAATGCAACTCCTTGTGTATGTGGTGCATTTTCTTCTTCATGGCCGGAGTATAACAGGAGCTCCCCTGAAGCTAGTCGTTGTTGTTCAACTTGTGTCCAATGTATTTTACTGATCCCAAGCACCTCCAGGTTGTATCTCCTAATTTCTGAAGCAATTTGGAAGACTCTCCCGGTCTCCTATATTGTACGAGCATTCTATGTACCTAAATAAATGGTTGCTCTGGTTGTCAGAAGGGGCATCGGCCTCGTAATTTACGAAGGAACTCGGTTTTCGCCAGGAGGCGTCATAACTCTTCCAAATGAAGACCTTCTGATTTCCAGCGTAGAGTTTAAAACGTTTGAATAATTTTTCTGGTTAGCGTTTTTTTAGCGAGTTAGTTTTTTACGGGTTGAGGTCGCTAACCCCATGCCCAACCCTCCTCCTTTATCCGGGCTTGCGACCGACAGTAACCTCAGAGGGGCTCCAGGCGGAGTTTTCAACTGGGTATACACATTATTATTCAATAGGGAATTGTTCTTTTTATGTCTCAATCCAAGCAATTTATCTTACAACTATGGTATTACAATTCAATTGTTCATTTTTCTAAGGATGCATAGATTATATAACTTGAGATATTGAGTAGAACTGAGCTATGTATATAGTGGTTTGTAGTTATTCTCAATGTGGGGATTTGTAAAGGATGCCATAGCTTCAATTGTGCATATATTCCCCGTCCATTCCTTCGAACCAATTCTTTTAACATTGTAGATGATTTTGAACAATGTTTCCCGTGATGGTATGTAATCGGAGTTGACTATAGCTTTAGATTTCTCCTTTTCCTAGTCCTTAAATTAATTTAAGCTTTGTGTTGTAATATGGAATGTAGTCTGAATTTTATACATAAAAGAAATATATCATTGTTTTGTTTTTAATTTAATGTTAAACTGTTATCATTATCTTCATTTAAAATAGTTTCCGCTTTCCTTGATTATTTTTCATAACCCCCTTTGATTTCTCCATTCATAATTGTTTCTGTCTATTGTTTTACTTCATCCACTTCTAATATAATCGTCTGTACGTGTATCAGTACTTATGTATCCAACAATCGCCTACCTTGATACATATTGTTGGCTAATGTAGGAGTTAGTTGAAAAAAAAAGCTTGAATCTTTCATACCAATTTCTGACATCAGTCTATTAACTGTTAGATTAAGGTTTGTTTGGAACTATGGACTACCTAGATAAGTTCAGCGTGATTATCCTGATCAGTGGCTAGAAGCATTGTGGGGAATAACTGATAATCGTAGTATCAATTCTACCATTTTAGTATTCATTTCTGTTTTACTAATGTGATATGACAGGTTGAAATAGTACACATTTCGCAAGTTCTACATTGATTATAGTTGAATACCTTCAATCGTTCATTTTTTCTTTAAATAATTATTTAATATTAGTTCATTAACTTAACCTGTTAGCTATTCTTGATAAAATTTCATGTATTCATTTTAATTCTCTTTCACAATTAGACTGATCATATGCAGTCATTATTAGAATTTGCAACATCACAAGCGGATTATCATCGTCAAGCTGCAGAGATTATGGAACAATTGAGGAAATTTTTAATTGAAAAGTAAGTTTACTGTTTATATTCTGTTTTCACCGACATTAATATTATAACTTATTTGTTTTACTTATTTAAACACAGAAAGATTGGTACAAGAAGGCACCAAATAGATATACGCCACATAAATCATTCGATTTGTGTGAGGGCTGGAATACTGCCCGGGCACCGAGACAAGTGGTTTTCTTAGTGGATCACAACCGGAGCCTTTGACCTAAACGTCTGATCCACAAGGCAGTGGAGCAATATCATTAGATTCAGATGGTAGCCGGCAACCAGCAATAGGTTCATACGCTATCCGTTCCCTTGGGATCCTGGAGTACATATGTACCTTTGATTTGGAATGAAGGTTTTCCAACTCGCCTATGTGAACTCTCCATATCCACCAACCGGGTTAAAGCGCCGGTCATTCGCTTTTCGTCCTCCTAATTTCGTAAACAACGGTAATGCAGCGAGAAGGCAGTGAGTAGGACTTCCATAGCAGTAGTTGTATGCACGTGGCCATGTGAGAGCACTTCGAGTAGGAGAGTTGACTCTCCCCAATCTCGGCCGTAACAGGGTGTTTGGGGGCAACAATCATATCTTTGTTTCAATTTGATACAGAGAGAGTGAGTTGTAAGTTTCCATTATTCAAACAAAGATACTATTAAAGACTTTATGTCTTTAGAAATTTTTTAGCGGATTTGTCAATCAAATTAATCTATAAATTAAACAAATATCTAATGCTACGTGATTCAATAGTTTCCTATTTCAGCAGTTTAAAAATCCCCATAGAATATTCCTATTTCTTTTTCAAAAAGTTTGCTTCCTGTCTGTACACAGAAGTTAGTGGTTGTAGATTTCATATGTTGAGTGTGGAAACATGTTTTTTAGATAGCCTTATATATCTAATATGTTATTTGAACAATGAAGGTTATTTCGGCAGTAAGTGACACATAAATCATGATTAATCCCATTCTTTTTTGTCTATTCTAGTAGAATACGTGAAACATGATCGGTAAGAATAGAGGATATTCGTAGGTTACTAGTATTCGATCATAGGTGTCTTCGATGCGTCACTCGTATATCCTGGGACCACCGAGTAAGTAATGCATTGTTAGGAAACGGGTACTAGATAAGGATGGCAAATCAATTGATGAGGTAGTGAAATTTCATCAGTTGAGACGGCTGGGACGCGTGTTACGTATGCCCAACCACCGACTGCCTCGACGTGCGATGCTCAATGGTATAGGAGTAGGCTGGGAGAAATCTAGGGGTGGCCAGACCAGAACACGGCACATATTCATTAAGTCACTGACAAGTGAACTAAGCCATGTTTGTAGGTGTAAACTACCTGGTTTGGATACACGAGATGATAACAACCGACGGTTAGAGACCTTGAATGACATGGGTGAAAATCGTTTGCATTGGTGTGCGCAGGTGCATCTACTCTTTGTGTTCTCCCGAATCCACGTTGTCTTTTTTTCTCTTTCCAAATTCGTTTTACTGGATTATGGTACTTGAATAACATCTTCGAATCCTAATGTTTCCGATTACTGCTTACACTCTTACTACCTTTGCCACTATGGGATTTGAATAGACAACGGCATCTCTGTGCTGGTTTGGTATAGCAGCTCGAACTGATGTATATACGTACGAAGTTCTACGTTGTTGCTGACTGACTAACGTTAATCACTAAAAGTCAGTTGTTACCTCCAATAACTCAGTAATTAGTAGCATATCACAGATAGTAAAACTGGTTGACGCAGGTTCAAATCTTCCAGGGATATCAATCCCATCGTGATTTCAAATACATTTAGTTGTTGTTTAATATAAGTTAGCACGAAATATTATCCAATCAGGATTGTCTTCCAACTATCTTCAATAATCTTACACTAAGAGGCAGATAATAAATTCTGTTTCGCTGTTGTTATAATAAATTTTTGGCTGTATACTCAGTGCTTGCGACGTTCGACTTTCAATCACTTAGTCCCAGGTTCGAATCCTGTTTCACTTACTTCGGTTTGAGTAACCTAGTGGTGTCACTAGCTCGTACCCAACACCTCTTAAATAAGTTAATTTATGTAATTTGCTTTAAATGTATGACACTATTTTTGTATTAGTTCAGTTAAAGTGAGTCAGTCTAAAAAGAAGAAAAAAATTGTTTCAAGAGAAGTATTTAGTGCGTTTGATGTACATCGATATATGGCATGTATTTTGCAGCCAAGTACGAGGTGTTTCTGCAAGTGTGACGAGAGAATATTCCTTCATTTACCCTTTTGATGATCCTTCAGGGGTAATCTAAAAGTTGATGTATTTAGTTAGTTTTGTAAGAGTGTGCTTGTGGTGCTGGCGTCATAGATGACGTTAATTTACACATAGTGGGAGACCAGAGTGGTTTTCTTCAATTCGGCCCATTTTTGATGAAATCATGATGCTATTCCAACTGTAGTAAACGGTATGGTATGAGACCAATTAAGGTTATGAAACCTGTTCTCTCTAAATTGTGGATGTTTGATAATCTTCTATATTCGATCGTTGTTGTGGACATCCGATGGCAACACCACCATAGTAATATTGAATTTCGACAATGCATGTTTGATTTACTGCTTACTTCACGTAAATTACACTATGAATATTGTTGTTATCTTGCTACTATCCTATTTTGTGCAACTGTTAGAGTTCCATTTATAATCTCCTAGGATACTATGTAATGAATTTAATAAACAAAAGCTTTATGCCGTAAACTTACATATCTGCTTATTTGTGTGAAGTCTGGGGATGTCCTACTAACTTTCTAATGGTTGTATTATTTTAAAATCCCCTGATTGTTTTTGCTTCTCAATCTTCGGTTCCTATATTTGGTAGTTATGCTTGGAAATGTACACTTATTGTAGTTGAAGTCTAAAGACTGACCTATTCAGCTTGACTGCTGAATTTATTTTATCATCCTTATCATATTTAACACGTAAGCTATCAGATACATTAGTATTGAAATCACTAACATCGTTGTGACTCACCATATTGGCTATCATACATCTGCGTCTCTTATTTCATACCCAGACCCAAGCAGAATTGAATCTGACCCAAATTACGCTTTCCAACATTTACGTAAATTAATAACTCATTCAGTCGTTAACTCCACACAACCCATTAGTTTGAAATCAAGGTTTTCCAAGTTCGCTATATAGATCCTCTGTTTTTGGTGGAGTTTTGTTCTCCAGCTCAGACAACAAAACTCCACCAAAATCATCCACCTGAGCTACAAATCTTCTCCACCATCTCATAGATCCTCTGTATCCACCAACCCGGTTAAAGTGCCGAACATTCAATTTTCGCCCTCTCACCTCGAGAAGCTAATGAGTAGGACTTCCTTGACAGTGGTTGTATATGTGTGGCCATATGAGAGCATTTCGAGAGGGAGAGCTGACTTTCCCCACCCTCTACGACATAATGTTGAAGAATAAAAATAATAGTCTATCAAGTTTTCTTTTAACTAAATGACTTAATTTCTAAAATATTTTTCTTTTTCAAACATCAACTTCAATTGTGAAAAGTCAATCAATCGTCTGAGGCTTCATTGTTCCTTTGTTTCCACAGCAATCATTCTCTGTTATCGTTCTTTTTTCTTCGATCTTTTTAACCTTTCGCTATCAGGCATTTCACTTTCTATTGATGTAATCGGGAAGATTAGGGTTTGGAGATGTTATTTATAGAGTATAATCCAGTGAAATAAATTTGGAAAGAGGAAAAAAGGGACATGAAGAATTCAGAAGATTAGAATTTGAGAGAACACAGAGAGTGGATGCACCTGCGCCATTGCAAACGATTTTGAGCCATGTCATTCAGGGTCTCTAACCATCGGTTGCTATCATCTCGCGGTCCCCAACCAGGTAGTCTACACCTACCAACATGACTCAGTTCACTTGTCAGTGACTTCATGGACTTGTGCCATGTTTTGGTTTGGCCGCCCCTAGCTTTCTTCCAACCTACTCCTATACCACTGAATATAGCACGTCGAGGCAGTCGGTCGTTGGGCATACGTAACACGTGTCCCAGCCATCTCAACTGATGAAGTTTCACTACGTCATCAATTGATTTGCCATCCTTACCTAGTACCCGTTTTCTAACAACTGTGTTACTTAATCGATGGTCCCATGATATACGAGCAATGTTCGAAGTACTACCTATATCTATCGACATCAGTAGCACACACCACAATGCTAATTACGTTATATCAGAACCAGGATTCACGGCCCAGTTTTTAGAACCAGATGTAACACTAATTAATACTTTATTCAACGCAATTACAAGCAGTCCAATCATATCTTACTTTCACTATCACCAATCACTTACTTCCCTATTTTCGGAACTGTCCTATGTCATGTTATTGTTTATATTTTTGTTGTAAAGCCATTAAATATTTTAATTACTGTATTTTTTTATTGTCCTACTTGTAATTATTTTCACGATACATAAGCTGTTATTATGTACTATACTTTTCTTAAGTTACTGGTGATTTTTTACATACCTTTGACTCAATTCTTTCCACTTCCTAGTTTTCCTGTTATTTTGGTCTCTTAATTATATTGATGCGTCGTCAACATTTTAGTCTACATTTGTTGTGTGGATTGAGTCGTGTTGATTTATGTACTGAGAGGCTCTCTACATTTTGTATTGTGCTCTATCGTGACTGTTGGGCGAGCAGTTGTGTGAGAATCGCTCTCTAGACCAATAGTCTTTAAGTGTTATTCTCGTTTGTTGGCCGAAGTTTATTGTTATTGAATCAATACTTGAACTGGATTAATACAACTGCTCTCTTGTAATTACATCTTCGTCTCACGAATCCCAAAATAACTCAAAATCTTTAGGTTCAATCTGTACACTTTGAATTAAATCTGTTTAAATTCCTTTTTGACGTTTAATGTATTCAAATAAATGGACACTCGTATGCGCTCCATACGACATATTACTACTAAAGATCAAGTGATTCTACCCTTTAACTCATACGTATGTATTGGTTGTAGAACTATTAATGCAAATGGAAGAAGCCCATGTAAGCAATGAACTTTAGTTAAATAATTCATTACAACTCACAACAGTTTGTCTATAATATTTTACTGTGTGACGACATGTGATTTGTTCCATCTATTCTATAATTTATACAAAATGAGAATTATTTCTCAATATTAGTTCATTTAGGTCTATCATTTACATAAGCTATACTGGCACATTTCTGGTTAAGCGTTTTTTAGCGAGTTAGTTTTCTACGGGATGGGGTCGCTAATCCCATGCCCAACCCTCCTCATTTACCCGGGCTTGGGACCGGCAGTAACTCTAGAAGAGTTACAGGAGGACGATTTGGACTTCGCAGATGACCTAGCCCTCCTATCGCATACACACAAACAAATGCAGATAAAGACAACCAGTATAGCAGCAGTCTCTGCATCAGTAGGCCTCAACATACACAAGGGGAAAACTAAGGTCCTCAAATACAACACGGAGAACAGCAACCCAGTCACTGCTGGTGGCGAAACTCTGGAAGATGTAGAATCCTTCACATACCTGGAAAGCATCATCGATGAACAAAGAGGTTCAGATGCAGACGTAAAGGCGAGGATTGGTAAAGCAAGAACCACATTCCTACAATTGAAGAACATGTGGAACTCAAAACAACTATCTTTCAACCAATATCAAGGTGAGAATCCTCAGTACGAACGTCAAGGCAGTTAGTTCTACTGTACGGAGCTGAAACTTGGAGAACTACAACAACCACCATCAAGAATGTACAAGTATTTATAAATGGTTGTCTACGCAAGATACTCAACATCCATTGGCCGGATACTATCAGCAACAGCCTTTTGTGGGAGAAAACAAACCAGCTTCCAGCTGCAGAGAAAATTAGGAAAAGACGATGGAAGTGGATAGGACATACATTACTTAAATCATCAAACTACATCACGAGACAAGCCCTAACTTGGAATCCTGAAGGGAAGCGTAAAAGAGGAAGGCCAAAGAACACATTACGTCGAGAAATAGAAGTAGATATGAAAAGGATGAGTAACAACTGGAAGTAGCTGGAAAGGATTGTCCAGGATAGGGTTGTATGGAGAATGCTGGTGAGTGGCCAATTCTCTTTCACGAGGAGTAACAGGCTTAAGTAAGTAAGTTATACTGGCACATACACATATTCTATTTAATCTTCTAATGATTAATATCATTTTATAGATTTAATGTCATTTATAGTTTTCATATTTATTCTTTTCGATAAGAGTTTTACTCTATACCTTTCATCTTCTTACTACTACTTATGCATGGATGCAATTTCTATTTCATTGATTTATATTGAAATTTATCTGTCTTCTTCATGTATTATACCCTCTTCTTCTTTTTCTTCCTCCTCCTCCTCCTCCTTCTTCTTCCAACTCCCAGTGTATTTTGTTTGTCCTTGTTTATATATGCCGTATTCACTGTACATATCGATACACACGTATAGAGAGTGAATGAGAGAGAAGAAAGAGAATATAATTTGCCTAAACTGAACTATTTCAAATCTTTTCTTCAATTCTACTCAAACTATATACTAATCATACATACTCGGTCATAGTTACACATAAACTTATGTTTTATTCATGTGATGAGAAATTGTTAAGTTTTTGTTTTCCAGAAGAAAGAAATAAAGATAGAGACATATCTCTGAGTTACTATAGAAGCAACTACATAAGTTTCTTTTTTTTCTCTCTTTCTTTCTTATGCTCTACACCATAAAAAACAAACAAACAAACAAAAAGAAAGTTGCTATTCAAAAGCATTTTTCTATTAATTCAATGAATCTTATAGTATCTGTGTATGTTGTTCACTTTATTACGCAAGTTTATTGTGTGTGTGTGTGTATGTACTTCCGTTTTACAATGTTCGTATTGATTGTTTCTATGTAAAATGTCTTACCTACTTCTGAAAAATAAATGACATTACCAATAAGGGGATAAATAATAAAATGGGAGTTTTGAATTATTGTTTGTATATCTGTTATTACACTATGCTTTGTTATTGTTGTTGTTGATGGTGGTGGTGGTTATTTTAGAGCATAACTCTTCTCATTTTCCTATTACCGGGTTTGTGTAGATTATTGAGTTTCATAATTTCACATCATAATCTGATCTCTTGTTCAACAATCATTGAAAATAAAGAATCGGTCGTATACTTTCATGGGGCATCATGGTCAGTGAGAATCAGACCATTTCAGGTGCGAGTCAATCACCGTCAGTGGTTGTACCCAGAAGATGGTTAAATAATTACTACAAATTAATTGAAGTTAGACATGTAAGGGACAGTATACCAGTTCAATGATTGAAAGGTTAAGCTTTTGTTGAGAGAGTGATGGGGGATCATTGATGCCTACTGCTGGGACGAAACGGCCGACTATTGCTTCTAACTTCGGCTGATTCATGATATCAATAACATTCAGTAATTTACACAGACCTCTATACTGATCTTCATTATTATTGGATTTTTAAGTTAGAAATGTAAAGTAGTGGTATTGACCTTCAATTACTGTATGAAACACGAAGGCTTAGGCTTCACACTTATATTGTAAAAAGCGGGGTTGTAGCAAATCTAAAACTCCAATCAAGCCACTGTCCAGCTCATGAGCTGTCTATTAGTCGTTTGTTCATAACGTGAATTAATTTAAAATCAAACCCCTCTAAGCAGGTCTGAACGGTTATAAAAGTTGTTTTGCACAACAAATCAATAAGCTATAGTGATCAAAGGCATTCTCGGTCCCTTGATTATGCTATTCTGGTTGTAGTTAACGATCCGATTTACAACGCGTCAGTGAGATCACTTTTCTTTATGAAGCCTGGTCTCTCTGAATTAAGGACACTCTGTAGCTCTGTGTTCAACCGTTGTTGTCCTCGAAGGGTTATGGAGATCCGGCGGCAACACCACCTTAGTAATCCTGAGATTTGATCATTTATGTCGTGCTCAGTGACATTAATTCGACTGATGTTACCATTATTTCCCAGCGTTTCGACTGAGAAAGCAAAGAGCTGGTCAGTTTATGACACGATGTCATGATATGAAAGGAAGCTATTTCTGAATTATCATCTCATGGTCTACAATAACTCGCCACTTTAAAGCCTAGGTTTCTTTCATTTCACTCGTTCGTGAAGTTGTCAGGTACAGCCCAGAATATTGACCAGTACAGAACCTGGTTTAATTTTCTATTACATTCTTCATAATAACTCGAGTAGCTCCATTAATTGAAGGAAGTTTTCCTTAATTTTATTCTCATCTTCATTGTGTTTCCTGTTATGCTTTTCCCCATTATTTCCCTATCTAATTCCTTTCCTTATTTATGTGAAGTGAATTATTTTGGTAGCAATTTGTAGCAGAAGTAATTAGATATTATTTGAAGTAATGAACTTTAATGATATAATTGGATAGTTACAAAGGTAACATACTCATTGCAATGTTTTTAATTGGACTTGTAACAAAGATTATGAGTATATATACTATTGATAATTTTGTACATAAGGCAAGACTTATGTTTTTTGACTGGTAATTACCCTGACTCATCACTATTTCTCGCTTGTATTTCAAAAATTGAGTGTGAACCCCTGAAGTTGAAAACCAGTTTGTCAGTTCATGAGGTTTTTAACTTTTATTTACTAGAGACAATTCAGTTGACTTTTAATAACTAACATCACTTGTGATGTAGGCGCTTTGTTCATCCACCAACCAATGAACAAGTATACTGCATAATGATTTGTTCTGTTCTACTATATGATCGTGAAACTCTGCTTTTAAGATTAGAGGATATTAATAAGTTGCTAGCATTTGATTATAGACCCATTTGAAGCACTACTTGCTTATGCTGGGAACATCGAGTGAGCAATGCTATGGTTAGACGCAAGGTCGCGAATCTCTATCGATTATGGTGGTTTAGATATATATTACCTGTGTCTTACCATCACTTACCTTGACACACGATCATGACCTGTGAGGAAAAATGTTGGAAGAAAGGTAAGGGCAGCCAATTCAGGACATCGCGTCGGTCTATGAAGTCATTAATTATTACTCTGGTTCATCTTGGTGGGTGGGGACTACTTAGTCGAGGTTCGCGTAATTACCGTGAATAAAGGTTAGAGACTGGGTAATAGAGAGTGGGTGCATTCACTACTTGTCTTCTTTTATAATATGAGTCCCTTTTACCATACTTAATTTCTTCTACCACTACTGACACAGTTACTACTTGTACTACTCTGACATTTGTCTTCTGTTGTTGTCATATGACCGATCCGTTGTTTATTGACTAACTGATTATTTTCACTCCTGACCAATTGTACAACAACTCCTTAGTTTATTTTCATTTAAAATCTAACCTGATAAAGTGGGAGCTCAATTTCTTTTTGCTGAAGTATAAAGAAGTTGTTTTACACACTCTTTTAACAAATTTCCTGTATTATTATTATTATCATTATCACTACTATTATTTCAATAGGAAAGAAGAAACAATGTCAAAACCACATAAAGTATACGAAGTAAAACGTGTAAATGTCACATTAAATCATGATATATCAGGGAGCAAAAGTCCATTAAATAGTACTTTAAATACTCCAACTAAAAACGGTCCAAGTCCTCATACAACAAAGAATGTACCTAGTAAGTTTGTTCTGTTTTCTATTTTATTAAATCTAAATCTCATAATTTGATACATGCTGCAAACTACTTTTAAAAAAAAATGTACTAATTTTTTACAACAGTTTATCAGAAGGAGGGTTTTGTAGAGATTTTAGTAATTTAATCGTTGAATTCATGAATCAATTGAAGGTAGATCACCATAGAAAACCTGGAAGCATTGAACGGTCATTTCGTCCTAGTATACACATCCACGAGATTCGTACTCAACGGTGTTGTCTTTCAGTGAGTTACTATCTCACAACAGACCTGGTTAAATTTTAATGGTCACGGCTTCTCACTAGAACTTCAGGAAACACCTCTTGAAGCCAGTCACTAGTGAGTGGATGATGATTATTATCATAAGGGAGTAGGGTGGCGGCTCATTGGTCTAGAGGTTATGTATTAGCGCGGGAAACCGGTAGTTACTGGATTCAAATCTCACGAGATGCTATCGTGTATGCGCACTGCCGAGGAGTACCATAATAGGATGGAACGGCCGTCCAGTGCTTTCAGGTTTTCTATGATGGTCTAGCTTTAATTGACTCATGAATTCAGCTATTAATTTACATTTTCCCCGGTTTCGAACTAACCATTGGCTATCTGAACTCATTAGCCTAGTAAATAACGCATTAGTGTATTTGAATCGTATTGTCAACATTAATACGAATACAGATCATTGTATATCATCCATCTGACGAGTGCTAAATATAAAAATACACTATGCTCTAGATTCCACTGCTGATATCATCCACAATCTACATCTCTTATTTATTTAGATATTTTATTCAACTCTATCTCTTCATCTCTTTGAATTTTTATTAGGTAATATTTACAGAAATCAATCATAGCATTTATTGATCTCCTTTTCTATCCCTATATTACTTAATACATCTATAGCTAGATACATACATAGTGAGATGGATTGAATGGGAGAGAATGAAAGTATCTCCTCTTTCTCTCTCCATTCCTCTTACTGCCTTTACTTCCAATGTCATCATTTTATATGTCTCTCTCTAACTATAATCTAATTGGTTCGTTGAGTTTGTTCAATTTTGAGAATTAGTGAATTAGATATTATTGTTTGTCTTCTCAATTATATTGATCATCGTTTTATTCTGATATATATTGGTTACTGTGAATGAATTATTAGTTTGATTTCAAGTTTGTCGGGTTTTTTGGTTGTCAATGGATATGTTTGTATTGATATTTATTACAGACTATTCTTCTAGATAAATGGGGTAATAGTTTCGAAAGTGAGCTAAATGTAATGAATTGCAAAGTTAGTTCCTAATTCAATCTGGCATGTAAAATAAATTTGTTTTCACGTCCGAATAACAATCTAAACATTGTTAATCCATCTGTTGTTGACAGTTTGTAACTAAGCATTGAAATATGAAATGTTATGGAATTATATATATAGTTGAATTCATGAGTCCATTGAAGCTAGACCGCCATGAAAAACTTAGAAGCACTGAACAGTTGTTTCGTTTTATTGTAGGACTCCTCAGAAGTGAGCATCCACGATTCCGACTCGTGATATTCGGACCCAGGACCTATCAGTCTCGCACGCGAGCGCTTAAAGTCTAGACCACTGAGCTGGTCGGCATCCATTGATGTTAATATCTAACTTCAACTAATCCACGAAATTGAGCGACACATTCACCATTGTCATCAGTGAGTTACTATCTCACAACAGACACGGTTGAACTCCACTGGTCACGGTTTCCCACTTCAACTCCATAAATACCCCTTGAAGCCAGTCACTACTGAGCATATGTTGATTATTATCAATAGGGGTTTTGTGGAGATTTTATTATATATGTATTTTTGAAGTGAACCACATAAGTTGACTTAAACAGTAACTGTTGTGTACCGCGTTCAAAAAATGGAAGAAAATATTTCATCATTACATTATCTCAAATAGATAAACAACCAAAAAGAGGTTCATTTACGTGCCCAAATATTTTCACAGTGATTAAGGTGTTCAGTCATTATTTAGGGAATATTGACATTCATATCTTTGAAAGGAAATTATTATCGGAAACTAGAATTTCTCTTCTCATTCATAGTGTAATTCATCAAATACACTTTTATATAGTTTGCTTCTAATCACACTGGTTTATGTAATGAGAATTAGTGATGCTATCAGACTTCTCAAACCAAAAAATGTATGGGACACAATTTCATAACATTAGTTTAATCATGAGTCAATTGAAGCTAGACCACTATGGAAAACCTGGAAGCACTGGACGGCCGTTTCGTCCTAGTATGGGACTCCTCAGCAGTGCTCATCCACGATCGAGCACACCGCGAGATTCGTGGATTGGTTGAAGTTAGACATTAACACCATTGGATGCCGGCTCAGTGGTCTAGTTGGTCAGGCGCGAGACTGATAGGTCCTGGGCTCGAATCTCGCGGGGTGCGGGATCTTGGATGAGTACTGCTGAGGAGTCTGCTGAATAATCTCGTACTAGGGCGAAATGGCTGTCCAGTGCTTCCAGGTTTTCCATGGTGGTCTAGCTTCAATTGACTCATGATTTCAATCTGAAATTTCTAAAATCTCCACAAACCCCTTCTGATTAGTTTAATCATTAAAAATCAAATACTTTGACTACTAACTAGTAATTATCACTCCAATCGAAAGAAGAAAATTCTAAAGGAAGATATTATCAATTGACTGACTAAATCCATTATTTATATATCAAAACATTCAATCTTATGATCGTATTGTCGTGTACAAGAACATCGAATGTATTTAACACGAAATTACAGAACATCTTACTAAAATATCAATCCATCGTCTTAAAATTTCACTGTTCCTTTAGCAAATATCAGTCTGTTGTCTCAGATTTCATTGTTCTTTCCTTATCGATCTTCTACGGAAATACATTCTATGCCTGGCCATCGTTATGTACTACTTATGTGGATATAAGTAACCTCTACACCACAGTATAGCAATGAATTGATTGAAAATAAGTTAAAGGGAATGTAAATAAGTGTTTGTATATCATTAAATCACCATTATTGATACCATTCATTTACTATTCTTAACTAAGTTATTCATCATCTTATGGAATTATAAATATATGACCAATGTACAATTAATCTATACACTATCAATTGATGAACAAAAAAACCCTTTTTAATATAGTAACGAACTAATCAAACTCATGATAACTTATTTGTGATTTTGTTTACACATAATTCAAAGGCTTAATATCAACCAGCATTCAACTTTTATGAATGAGTTCTGTATATGTTATAACTTGTAGCTTGAGTGCCCTGTTGATGTATAACATAATGATACCGCCAATTAGAGAGCAGTGAATTATCGACCAGACCAATGACGCATAAAACTCGTACGAGCAATCTAGAGTCCTTATCGGTCCTGCTCAAAACACCAATCTCAGCCTCTGCGATAAGAGTCATTTATTTCAAACATACTGAGTTTATATAGCAACCAGACAGACCACATCGTACCAGTAACATAGGAAACTACATTTATACATGATTTGGACAAATGTGGAAGGTAGTAAGTAATTAATAGACAGGGTATAATTCAAGAATGGTAAATCGTATAATAATAGTTCATAAGTCAAAATAAAGCTTATGATAAGAGGAACACGAATGTGTATAGTTTAGTTATTTAACAATTATACGACAAAAATATACGCATAGTATTGGTCCATAAATGGATCCTAAAAGTTACCATTCATTATGCTTATCGGGATATAACAGTATAAATAACGTATCTATTAGATTCTCTGATTTCTTTGGTTTGATAAAAAAAAGGTTTTTTGTTTCATTATACAGTAAATAGGAAATCAGTTCGAGTGCTAATGTGGTATGGCAACTCGAACTGATGTACGTACGTATGAAGTTCTACGTTGTTACTGACTGACTGAAATAGGAAATCAAAAAAAGAAGAGAATGATCGCTGAATGCTGAAAATATTCGCCGATAGATCAAATACAAATTCAAACGTTGACCTATCTATTTCGGTTTAGGGACTCAAATAGTATCAGTAGGCTCTCACACAAAACAATGTGGTTCAAAACTGACGGCATTAACGTCTGTACTTGGTAAATTAGTATCAGATATGTCAAAGTTTATGATCTGTGAAAGGATCTGGACGTAAATTAATCTAAATGAATAGGTCTTTTTATCGAAATTTTTTGGCACAAGGTATAGAAAACTTATTATTCACTTCGAAAAAGGTCGTTTACTGTGTAAAGTTATAATCTAATATAGAGGATAGAAGTATAAAAAAAACAAATTTTAGCGTTCCTTAAGATTCACTATGATGAAGGCTTACTGAGAAACGCAAATTGAGGCTTTATTTTGTGGTTTGCATAACATAACGTCTGGAAACTGGGGAAATCCATGTTCTATGCTAGTATGGGATTCTTCATGAGTATACATCTATCACTCTCCCCGGCATCGAGCCCAAAAGACTCTACACCTCATAATTAACGTTTAGACCAGTAAGTGAGCATTCATCAGTCTAGATTTTTGCTACAGTAAATTCATGATATTATCATCTTATTATCCATTGTCGTTGGTGATAGTTTTCTCATCTCTGGTGTAGTGAACTTTCACTGGTTACAATTTTCTAACGAAATTCCAAGAAATACTTCTCAGTTAGTCACTAATAGACGCTTGATTATTATTAGCGTGAAGATTTTTGTGAAACATGTCGTATTTCATAGTTTAGATCACGGACTGATTCTAACTAGACATCACTTGAAAACTAGGAAGCGTTGAAATAGCTTAGTTTAATTCATTAAATCGATAACATAGTAAATCCACTGTTTGTTTGTTTTTAAACCAAGGGTTTTATGCGAGGACTTATGATACTATCTGATTGCTCAAAATCAATACAATTAGCATAGGTTTCGAAAGTATATCAATTTTTGATCGCAGTTAGGTAGATTGATCGATTCGCTTATAGTAACCATAACTCCATTGATATTATATACGTATGTTGAAATTTCATATTGATTTATCACTATTATTATTATTATTGTAGTTTTAGGACCATCTTGTAAAGCATTATTTGATTTTGAAGCAGAAAATGAATCGGAATTATCATTCTCTGAAGGTGATATAATTAGTTTAATATTACGTGTTGATGAAAATTGGTTTGAAGGTGAATTAAATGGTCGTAAAGGTTATTTTCCAGTGAATTATGTTGAAGTGATTAATCCGTTACCATCATAGAAATCAATTGTTTTCCTTCTTCTTTTTGTCGTTGTTGTTGTGTATGTGTTAGTAGTGTCTTGTAAGCAAAAGAAAATGTCAATGTATCATGACCTAAACATTATGACAATGAAAGATAGTCTATATTTCCTCATATTCAACAAATTGTACACATATTACAACACTTATGATGATGATAATGATAATAATAACAGCAAAAGTACAAATACAAAGATATCTATCATGATTCGACCAATTATACTTATTTCTTATATTCAATATATTATAGATTAAAAAAGCATTCGTCAACTACACTAGTAAAGTTAACAACTTGATGGAGATAAACACCATCCCATCACATCATACATTATTGTTTATAATCTTTAATTTATTTATTATTTAATTCTATCACAGATATACAAATGATATGCAATAAAAAGCCGGTAAATTATCATTTATTATTATAATTATTATTATCATTGTTTTGTGGCTTTATTCTTCTACCTACCTACCTACCTTATAGTTCTCTTCACTTTTCTTTCATACATTACCATTTAAGACAATGGGTATTGTGTATTCAATGAACTGGATATTACTATTATTATTATTATGAGTAGTAGTAGTAGTAGTCTTGTCAATATTAATCTTTGCAAGTGTCTCTATCTACTATCTATCTATCTATCTATTTAATAGATAATCAAACAAACACATATTCTACGCTTATATTTTATTCTTAATATGAACGATATTATAGCATATTTCTTCTTCTTTTTCTTGTTGTTGTTGACAACTTACTTCATTGTTTAATTTTAAGATGAACCAATTTTTCCTCTTCTAGAACTTCTATTCAACCAATATATATGCATATATTGTTCAAATTAATCAATATATAGTTCTTGTTATTTCTCAAAGAGGAATTATGATCCTATATTATTATTGTTTATTATAAAGATCATAATTACAAAATAAATATTAAAGCAAAACCCTAATTCATATGATCCACATTTATACATATATATATATTTGTTTATTTTGATAATATCTATGCTTGTTTATTTCTGTTTGTATGTGTGTGTGTATGTATGTATGTATGTATGAATATTACTCTTTTTCTCGTAACATTCCATTTGGTTTCCCTTTCTCTCTCTCTCTCACTCCCACTCCTTTGGTCCTTCATCTTGTTTCCTGATTCATTTTAATTTAATGACCAAATGTAATAAATGAATAATAATAATAATAAGATTATTCATTATTCTTGTTCATTTCTTTCAATAATCAATTTCTCATTTGTTTAATTTTACTCCTGTTAATAATCATAATCACGATGGTGATAATAACAATAGTAAGTATAATACAATTTGACAAGTATTGATGATAATCTTTTTCAGTGAGTGTTTATTTACATAATGATTATTAAAATTCTTTTTGAATCTTATAAATTAAAGAAAAAAGATAATAAGTAGATTTTGTGAGGTTGATAATCAGAGAATACATCTAATATTGAAATATTGCTGGCGTCTGCTGGGATCACCGGGTAAGTAATAGTGAGGTTAGATGCAGAGTATTAGGGAATGATGGTAAATCAGTTGATGAGGTTGTGAATCTTCATCGACTGAGATGGTTGGGCCACGTGTTACGTATGCCTGAACACCGATTACCACGACGTGAAATGTTAACCGGTGTTGGAGATGGTTGGAAAAACGTTAGGGGTGGCCAAACCAAAACGTGGCATCAGTGCTTGAAGTTACCAAATTCTAGTCTGAGCCATGTTGGGAGATGCAGTCTACTTGGTTGGGGTCCACGTGACTATCGTAACCAATGGTTGGAGACTTCTGGGTGACATTGGCTCAGAATCGATCACAATGGCGTCGGTGTATATACTGCCTGTCTTCCCTTAAACTAAGAGATTAAAATCGCTTCATATCTTTCTTTCTTCCTGTACTATATCCTTATATTCAATCTCTCTTTTATATATTACCACCACTGAATTAACTACTTCTATAAATCCAGTGTTTATCATGTTTTGCTAATGAGGTGTAGCAACTTGAACTGATGCATATATGTGCCTGGTCCTACGCTGTAGCTGACTGACTGACATCTAATGTTATTTATGATTATATGAACCTTTTAAAATCTGACGTTTTGTATGTGAATTCGATAATCAGTGAACTATGGTATGGACCCCAAATGCCTTAGTACGACCAAGAGTGAGGAGAGTCAGTTCACTCTCTCGAAATATACTGTCACATGGCCACATGCATTAAATCCTACTCACTGCCTTCACGAGGCGGGGGTGTTTACGAAGATGAGAGGACAAAAATTGAATGTCTGGCGTTTTAACCAGTTTTGCGGAAAACACTGATTTCAAACCAATGTTGCATATGGGCTCCAGCATCCTGAAGGAACGAATGGCGTATAAACCAATCGTTGGTCTCCGGCTACCATGGGACTGTATCTCCTTACATTGTTCCACTGTCTTGTGGATTAGACCTTTAGGTCAAAGGCTCCGAGTTTGGCCCACTAAGAAAATCACCTGCTTCGGTTTGGGTACCCGGGCGGTATACCAGCTCTCGCACAGAATGAATGATTTATTTGTGGTGCATATCTATTTGGTGCCTTCTTGTACCAATCTTTATATGTTTAAACAAATAAATAAATACTGGCGTTCATCGAGGGAGATATTTCAAAAGGTAATTTTGTAGTTCTAATGAGAAACAGATCAGTCGAGTTCACGCATGTTTGAATGTTAGGTAGTTAGTCTCCAAGTATATTGGAATGTAGTTTTCTCGATTTTACGAATTGATTGAAGTTAAACACGTAGACTATTACGTATCGACTCAGCAGTTTAAAGGTTATGCGTTCGTACGCGAGACCAATAGTCGTGGGTAGTAGCAAGGTCGTTGATGCGTACAGCTGAACAGTCCTAGTGTTTTCTGTTTACTTAACCAAGATCGTTCCGTGATGTTAATCATGATATAAATCTTTATTGATGTACATATGGGTTGACTAGAAACCATATTTAATATTATTGCTTGTCAAAACATTTGAAATCCAATGTTTTGTATGACAACCGCCATAGGTAGTAGTGCACTAGTCATCGGAATGTTTCCCGATTACATTTTGATAAGAAAAAAAATTAGTCTTATATATGTTATGTCTTTTGCCCCTCTCAATTATCACGTGACAAAATCGTCAATCAGAATACCGACTTGCATTACCTTGTTCCTGTGCTAAACCAATGTCAAGTCAACCAACACTAGCAGCCTTGCGTCAACTCTGAATTCTTATCGGTCCTCAAAATAGTAACTTCTCGCCTAGCCGTGCCCGTTCAGTCCAGAACATAGTCCCAGCTTCTATTGTATGAACAATATATTTCAGACATACATAGTTTATATACAAGCAAACCAGATCGCAACACACCATAAATTAAAAAATTATCAATTATACAAGATCAAGCCAAAAGTGGCTGAGTGTGAGCGATTGTAACTTAAGAATGCTAAATTGTATGAGTAGCCAGTAGGTCAAATGGAAGCTTATAATATATAAGTCTATTAATAGTTCCCGGAAGTTACCCATAAATTAATCTTCGAATAAAACAAAATGTTATACTTTTTGTTATAAACACATATTTAACAGGAAATATAGTGATAGGATTTTTCATAGTAGACGATAACGTTTCTGGAACCCAAACTGAGGAGTTGTGATAAACCGACAGAACCCCAGTCTTACACAGCTATCTTTTGTACCGTGGCGCTGTCGTAAACTGACTACCTATCTACTTTTTCCAACTAATCTTAGCGTCGACAAATAATACATGGTGTGAAATTCTCTGTGACAAAATTTGTTGTGCATGTCAAATTACCGAGTTAGTGTCTTGAGAAATTGAACCATTGTCACTGAGCCCAAACACGCTGATGGTTTTCAGCACTAACTAAGAAGCGTTGCCACCGGATATGAGAAAGTACGAGCTTGCTTCTAGCGAGTTAGTATTTCACAGATTTTGTATTACCTGCTGAGTAGGACAGTATTGATTAATATAGAGGTAATAAGAAATTTATACTTATTATTGTTGCATAAATCGTCTAGATTGTTTTAACTAAGTTAATGCAGCTCTTACAATCAGTATCGCCTCATTTCAAGTAGAGAGATACATACTTAGTTGGTGAGTTAGTATTATGAACACTGTATGCTGAATGGCAAACATAGAGCTGTTGGTCACATATAATTAGGCTTTATTGTCTCACAAGGAAGTAATGCATTAAATTTAAATATTTGTTTGGATGAATCCCCTAGTGTTGTTGCTCAGATTGATAGCAGTCAGTCAATCATACACAACGTAGAACTTGATATATATATGCATCCATTTAAGTTGCCGTACCAGATTTGCACAACAAGATAAAATTATTTTAAGACAGTTCACATAGTATTAGGAGTAGTAACGATGCCATAATTAGTGGAAAAGACTAGGATTGGCGTGCATTTTATCTGGTTGCATTCCAACTACAAATACATACTCAACAACGTTGAGCCAAAAATTCTTATTGGGAGCATGTTTTTTTGTTTCTAATTTCAAGAGCATCACGACAAGACATGATTACTAATAATTGAGAAAGAATGCGATTTCCATTACGGCTGACATTTGATAGATAAAGACTGGAAACGATACAGTTTTAGATAGCTATCTTATTCGGAATCGCGACTTCACATCAGTATGCATCTAAAGTATGCGGACATATAGTAAATTGACCAAAGTTAGAGCATCTATGACTTATAGAATTTTACACAGTAGTTAGGTGTCATGATTCGTGAGATATCTGAACGTCAACGATTTGATCTGATAAGACGTGAGGATTGGTTGCTAAATGGCTTTAAACTAACGAGAGTCAGTTCACTATTACCTCTTAGTTTTTAAGGGTTCACGATGAAAATTACTTTTCAAACTAAATGTAAGAAACAATTTTATCACATGGATATTGAGGGGGAAAGCGTGCTATTTTAATGGTACATATTATAACTTTATT